ACAAGTGCTCCATCACTGTGCACAATCAGTGCCAAGATAAATCTATCAAAATCCTGTACCCAGTGTGAGTCTGCTTATAAATGTTGTATACATATTATTAAATAGCAGATTGCTAACATTGATTGCAAATGCAAAAGCAGATTATACAATGTTTGAAACACAGCATTAGTTCTATTCACTGGTTTAAGTTACATAAAATCAGATTATAAACGTGTAGAGAAGTTTTCAATACAATTTGTGAAATAGTGAATGAGCCATTTATTTTCTGCATGATGATGCCAGTTCAGTCATGAAATTGTCTTTGAAGGTCTAAAGTATGTATGTATGTAAAAGATATATTGGAAATGTTGCAATGCCACTGGCCTTAAAGTGTATCTACACCCAAGGATACAAATAAGGATGTCCAGATACCAGTGCCGATACTTGGCATTTTCACGAAAACTACCAGGTTTGCAGCGATTGCAGCTGGGACCTAGCTCTGGCTTTTCTAGTCTAGTCTTGGAGCTGGAAAAGTATTTGTACATGTACTTGTACTTGTGCCAAGTACGGTCTTGGTATCTAAACATCCATAGATGCAAATGTAAAGTAATGCAGCTTACCTGTCCTTATATGTGGTGGCTACATTCGTTTTTCCAGGCTTTTTTGGCAATGCTGCCGCTAACAAAATTCCCGTCCCAATGTGACAATCACTTACCATATGGTATATAGAGGAACAGCAGAGAGAACTGCAGAGGACTGCAGAGAGAACAGGGAACAATGCTAACTGATAACAGTCTCTAGCAGAAGCAGAGGGCACAGGAAGTTATTGGCTCACAACAGTTCTGGCAGGATCAACAGTTATTTTCTTGTACTTTCTAAACACATGTAACAAAACTCTTTCAAATGTATATTTAACAGACCAAAAGTAAGCATATAAGCAAAGTTCATTGTTTGGGTTTAAATGCACTTTAAAATATTTAAACATGATTGTTAGCTTGTACCTTCACAAATGAGTCAAAAGGTCAGCAGTGGAAATGAAGCCCCCTATCTTCAGGTTTGTCCATGGGTTTAATTGTTCTTTTGGGGGCCTGTGCAAATAAGTCTGCACAGGAAGGATGTTCATCCCTAGCCAAGCATTTTTTTTTAGGGTTACCCTTCTACAGAGAGACTTAGATGGCTTTCCGTGGAGCAAAGGACTCAACCCAACGCAGTGATGGCTAAGGCATCAAGTAATATGATTAGCAAAAAAAAAATATGTGCGGAATTGGATTTTTATGTATTGCTTGCCTTAGGTCCCCAGATTCTCGTCACTTTGCTCCTGCTCCTCCTAAAACACATGTGCTTTGTTGGACTGAGTTGGGGTATGTATCTTATACAAAGTATTTATAAAAGGTTTTAGTTTCACTGCATACAAAATATTACTTTCAATATTACTTTCAAACATTTTCTTAAACACTAACTATCTCCAGTTGACAATTGCTGAGCCCATAGTTATAGCCCAATAGCAATGCTGTTTCCAGGGAAATCAATTTTTAAAGCTAGAAGGCATTCTGTTATTTACGAGTTACGAAGGATCAATGTCCTTAGCCAACCATGTGTAAAAACATTTTTTATAGGAAATAAAAAGTGTTCAAGCTCATTTTTTTAGTTATATACTGTTTCAATGGTTGGAGATTCAGTTAATGTTGGTGCAGTATTTCACCAACTTATTTGTTGCTATAGTGGTGCTCTCTGCAGTATTCTCCTGTGCATCCAAGGTTGGGTAATGGTGATGGTCATCATTCAATTGGAAGACGACTGGCAGTGGCTCACAGACTCGAGAGTCTGAGCATAGGGTGAGTATTGTAGTCAGTGTTTACTCAAAGGTTGGTTAATGGAATGTTTCCTTTATAACTGTAGACAGGCTTTAAGTAGTGAAGGATGGAACGAATGACAGCCTTGAAATCTTCACCTTCAAAAACATATTAGTAATTGCAGCTCACATATCAGCTTCCCTTTAAGGATTACAAGTGGGAAAGCCATGGTATGCCCTATAGAGTGGACTATTGTAATCTGTTACTGGTAGCTTACAAATGCACAACTTGCAAAAAGGTTGCAAAGAAAATGCTTTTTTGGAATGTGCTAGTCTACTGTATGTAAAAAGCCCTATGAAGGTGCAGAACTTTTAAAACTAATTCAGCATTTGATTAAATGTGTGTTCCTGCAGATTCCCATTGCTTTAATGCTAAACTATTTCTGTACTCCTATACTTTGCAACCATTTACTCTTCCAGAGTTCTCCAAGAGTTTGCTAATACTTGAGTTACCTGTACTCACTACTACCACTAATACTAAGCATTTACCCCAGGCTGAGGATTCACTGCAGTTCCCGTAAGATAGGGAGACTAGGTGAATCTTAAAATGTGTGTGTGTGAGATAGTGTCTGTGGTTGTGTGTGTCTGTTAGTGCTTTGGAGGGCCCTTTTACACTAGTACAGTACATTAATCGAACAGTCCTGTGCCATGCAATCGCACCTACTACAGTGTGGAAGGTGCATTGTCATTTATTTGAATGGCATCCCGACCGAACCTCCCACTCACAGTTTAATCGCCAGCATCGGAACGTGCGGTACTGAAATGCCATGCTGGCAGGGACTTACACAGCCGCGGCGTCTGGTCCGCAGATCAGGGCCCCTCCCCCAGCGCCGACGTCACGTTACGACGTCGCGCTCCCAGGGCCGCCTCTCGTAGCTCCGCCCACTGAACGGCCACCTCTCGTAGCTCCGCCCACTGAACGGCGCTCCCTCGGTAAAAGCGAGGGAGATTCAATTGCTCGGCGTTCAGTCAATGGAGACTGTACGTGGAGCAACTGCTCTCCTGCTCGCTGCACAAACTTCCCCACAAGAACCAAGGACTTCATACCTCCTGAGAGGGATTCGATCAGGAGGAGCCTCTACCTCCCCCTGTATCTCTCCTGCCAGGGCCGGCCTTAGGGGTGTGCGAGCTGTGCGGCCGCACAGGGCGCCATAGCAACAAGGGCACCGTGCAGCCGACATAGCTCGTCCTGGGGGCGGCTTCTCTCCCCCTCACCACTGGCCATCCGATATGACAGCGCTCCCTCATCCGCCCCCCCCCACCCCACCTTGGAAGGTGCGTTGTCATTTATTTGAATGGCACCCCGAACGAACCTCCCACTCACAGTTTAATCGCCTGCATCGGAACGTGCGGTACTGAAATGCCATGCTGTCAGGGACTTACACAGCCGCGGCGTCTGGTCCGCAGATCAGGGCCCCTCCTCCAGCGCCGACGTCACGTTACGACGTCACGCTCCCAGGGCCGCCTCGTAGCTCCGCCCACTGAACGTGCTCCCTCGGTAAAAGCGAGGGAGATTCAATTGCTCGGCGTTCAGTCAATGGAGACTGTACGTGGAGCAACTGCTCTCCTGCTCGCTGCACGAACTTCCCCACAAGAACCAAGGACTTTATACCTTCTGAGATGGATTCGATCAGAAGGAGCCTCTACCTCCCCCTGTATCTCTCCTGCCTTCTAAATCACAAGTAGTAAAGACTATACTGTGTATACTAGCCTGGGCTATCTGCGCTGCCACCTAGTGGATTGAACTGTTATTACAACCTGCAAGTTATAGACTGTATTATTCCTTCATAGTTGCTCACTGGTATATCTCACATTAACCTGCAACCTGCGTGTATATTTAATATAAGAACTACCCTAAATGTAAACCTCATGTATGAGAATAATATTATGCTGAAATGAACTGGGAGTTGTTTAATCATAGAGGTGGTATATGATGTTTGTAGGAGCTGCACCCCCTCACCGCACCTAAGAGGGTCATAGCAGCCTCCTCAATCTGAACCATCTCCTAATCCGAGTGAGTTGTGCCCTAAGATCCTTAGTTGAGATCCATAAACAGTGGGTAGACTGTTACACACGCATTCCATTGCAGTGCAATTTGGGTTGCAACTTAATGACCAAGGACAAATGTGGGTCCTGAGGTTACAAAGGTTGAGAACCACTGATCTACAGTATGTGTATGGGTCCCTAATGCAGACAGATACTCAAATGTAAAATTACAGCTGTACTTAGCTTCTGTACTCTGACCTTCCACTTCAGCATGTGAACAAATACCTGGGTCACATGACCTGCACTACAAGAAGTGGGGAGCAGCATTGTCTCACAAAAGAAAATGATTTAACAGCATTTTCTCACAAAAGAAAAGTACTTTGGTTCTTCTATTAGTCTTTGTCTGTCCAAAAAAGTCTATTAACTATTTGAAATATAGGTCTGCCTTACTTCTGCTATTAGCTTCAAAAGGAAAGAGTCGTAATGTCAGAATTGGTATACAATGTATCCTTTCAGGCATTGTTTGTGTCAGTCACAGTGGTGTGTATATATAAAAGTTATCACAGCTATTTGTCCTGTTGTGTACATTCATTCTATGCAAATGTTACTAGTATATTATCTTTCCAGGTCAAAGGTAATATAAGTAAAATACCACATTATGGCCGCTAGAATATTTATTTCCTATAATTTGGGATTTTCCCAATTCACAATAATCTTTATGAATGGATTACATTTGCCCTGGAAAGAAAATATACTAATAACATTTGCTTGCAGCCCCCTTTACACAGAATGATTGTACTTTTTTTATAAATACATCCCAATGTTTATGGTGAGCATTAAAAAAACAACTAAATTCTTTTGTGTTTTTATGATTTTCTGTTTCATAGAAGGAGACAATTCATCCACAACCCACACAAAACTGTGGTAGCAGAAGCAAGAAAAATAAGTAAATTAGATAATAGTAGGGCAGAGTGCTGTTTCAAATGCATGTTAAAATTGATCCTGTAATGTACCTGTGATCATTTCAATTTTGTCAGCTGTATATAGATTATTCGACAAAAAAGTCTGCTAGGTAAAATAAACCCACATGTTGCATGTCATGATTTAAAAAAAACAGTATATTTATGATTATTATGTGCATTTCCTTGTGTCAGTTTATATGATTACTGTCAATTGCTTCCAGGTCTCTCCCAGTTTCCAGACATTTGTGAGTGCAAAGACACAGAGCTGGAGTGTGTAGAGGCCAATTTACAAGCAGTACCGCAAGTGTCAAGCAATGTAACACTTTTGTAAGTAGTATCTGATTCCCTCTGTTTCCTATTAGCTTGCTATCACCTTAATAATTCATCAATGACAACCCTTATTACAATCTGTCTATCCTGTACAGACATATTCTCTCCCATCAGCACCTCTCCTCCCATGAAACATAAATTAATAGAAGTCAATTTTATTTTAGCTTAGGGTCATTGACAAGTCTAATTGACTATGAAAACTCTGTATCAGACTTGTTGTCTGCATATGAGGTATTGTGCTACAGATTTATTACAGGTATTTATATAGTGCTGACAATTTATGCAGTGATTTACATACTGCACATTCACATCAGTCCCTGCCCTCAAGGAGCTTACAATCTCAGGTCCCTATCACACACAGGGACAATTAACCTTCTTTGGTTGTGGGAGGAAACTGACACAAGCACAGGGAGAACATGCATACTCATTGCAGATAGTGTTCTGGCCAGGATTCGAACCAGGGACTCCCCATCTGCAAGGTAGAAGTGCTAACTACTAAGCCACTGTGCTCAGGTTTACATTATAGAACAGAATACTGTGCATTGTTCTAAAATCTCCCCATGCATTCCAGCCCATCATAATTTAATAATTGTATTGTATATGAGAAGTTGGTAAAACAATGGACCTTTTCTCAATATATTTCCTGGAATTTTTTTTTAAATTGAGAACCACTTATACAAGTGTCAATATTTGAAGCAAAGAAAGGTGATTGCCTTGTCCTTGTCCCTTGATAATAAATCCTCCTTGAGATGAGGCAGGTAAGTAATCGATTTTCTAGTGACAGATTGGCAAATGTGTCCACCGGTTATTTGCATGTTTGCACCAGCATGAAGAGTGAGATTGAAACAAGGCACATATTATCTAAACATACTGATTTCCTCCTTCACAAGAAAACCAGTGAATCATTGACTTGTCTTGATACAAGTTTGGCCTCCAGTTCTATGTTTCCATATGATAAGAATTTCTGCAAATCCATCTTGAAATAAAAGTTTAAGACTGTTAGGACACAGATATAAAATGACCAGGAATTTTAAGCAGCAATGATGAAAAAGACAAACTATCTAAAGTTGATATTTCAGTTCGAGTGGACTGTTGCATATGACTCCAAAACATAGATATACTCGGCATCAAGCATACTTCTAGATACTGTAGTCCCTCTAGTTTTCAGTGGGGACAATTAAACCTTCAACATCTCTTAACATCTCTGTCCTTGTCATGTTTGTATCGTAAATCCTGCCCCCCCCCCCACCTCCCTGGAAACCTTTATGCAGTGGGGAGCCAAATGCCAATCTCTAACACCTCAATGAATCCCCCAAGATAAAGCCTAACTAGAATAGTGCAATATTTACAATACATCTAAAGTGTGGATAGCTTTGGATAAAGTAGGGAAAGGTTTAAAATCCTGTCAGTCTTTGCCATTTGTATCCCATTAGGAGAGATTTCCCTTCACATCTTGCCAAAGCAAGATAACCCCCCCCCCCTTAGGCAGTTGTCACCAGGTGTTCCAGTGGAAGATGTACCTTCTATTCCTTTTTCAGTGACAACTCAAAATTTAGCATTTTCCCTCACTTTCAGTACCAGTGACAGTGATCACCAGGACAAACAGAGAGTCACTCTCCCTAAGATGGAGTAACACTACAAAGCTGACAGAGGCTCTTAACCTTTTCCACTCTATCCAAAACTAACAAAAATGTTTGGGCTTTAGATACATGTTAATGCATGCTGCTGACATTTGTCTGAAAGCCAGCAATACAGCTCTGCTGCATCCACCCTGGTCTCTCAATATTCCTGTTATCATTTCCATACATTAACGGAATTTGAAGATCCAGCACCAGGATTAGATCTCCTTGTATTAGCTGTTACAGTTAGGCAAAGCTGAGATTGCAAAAGCAAAGATTGTATTGGTGGTGTCACTAAGGTTCATGATTTAGCTTTGAATATTGTTATATATCAACTACAATGGAGCAGTAAAATGGGCTTTATTCTGTTGCCTTCCATCTCTCAATTATCTGAACCCATTACAGAAGGTAACAGGTGCAGGTGATATATTGGTCACAATACTTTTTGTAATCCATGTTAGAAAATGATCTTCTGTGGAGAAGGATCTGCTGGTGGTGGTGGTGTCACTACTTCTGTGATTACAACCTCAATGGGGGTGGGCGGGGTGAGCCTGCTTTGACTAATAACATGCATTTTTAGGGAGCAGGCTAATTTGGAGTGCTCTGGGGATTTACATGATTACAGCCCTTAGATCTACTGTAGGTGTTAGTTAGGCAGAACAATTCAACCAATCAAATGTAAGATATCATCATTTTAGAACCACCAGAGCATGGTTGCTGTATGGAAACTTTCCACAGTGTCATGTAATGATGATGCACACAGTAACTCATAGCAACCACAGATTTAAATTTAATTTGACAGATCAAATAAGACTTTTTCGGTTTGCTGTGACAGGTTACTGAACATTGTCTTTTGTCTTTTTTAATATACCTAGTATGTGTTGTTCCTTATCAGTTAACATTACTGCCAGCTTGTCTAGTGCTTGGTTAGTCTGTTGGCCATTGTTCAGTTGGATGTAGTCTATGCTTGGTCCTACTTCGCTCTAGGCTGTCATACAATATCTCTGTTTGTCCTGTATACCTAATAAAGCATAGGTAGGATAAAGGAGAGATTCATAATGTCAGATGACCCATTTTTCTTCCATCACTAGGTACCATTTACCAAAACTGATTAAGTGTCTTTGTTGCTTCACAGTAACAATCCAAAATTGCTCCTGAAAATGTCAGTTGGATAATGAAAATGTGATTAGTTTCTCTCATGCAGTGAGACATTTCGTATGGAAGAATTTTGTATTCATGTTACCAGGGCCGGATTTACTCTCACTGCCACCCCAAGGCCGGGTTCCACAATACGCCCCCCCTGGGCCGCCAACCCCCCCTAGTTTAATTTTTTTTTACTGTTTCTTTATTTTTATCACTTTTTTTTATTCAATTATTTCTTCATCTTTTTTTTTTATTTATTTAATTTTTTAATCAATACATTTTTTTTAGATTTTTATTTATCTTTTTACTTTTTTATAATGTACTTTTTTATCTTATTATTGTTTATTT